TTCAAGAGCGTCTCAGTCACGTCGATGGCGATGAGCGACGCCATACTATCGAGCTGAGCAAGCACTGGTCCTTGAGCGACATTCTCCGACGGTGCTGGGAATAGTAAACGAGCCTGCTCATTACGGAGACTTCCGAAATCTGGCTTGTACACCATACGTGTGAACGGGCTCGAAAAGCCCCTGGCTCCGGTCTTGTCTGGAGACGTTGCCTCTAAGCTGTAACTAACGCAACGGAGGTCCTCAATGTCCACAAGGATATCGCCCGCCTCATCCTGAAGCTGTAGCTGGAGGTACGCAGATCGAAGGCCCTTGAACTCGCCGTATGCGACCGCTGTACCCGATGCTTGGTCAATATTACTCTTGACACGCAGCTCAGACAAGTGAATGGGAACGAATGCTGTCGTCGTTTTGTCCGTTTGGCCTCCATGGGATGCGAGGAGGCCAAGTTGGATCATGGCATCTAATGAGGCGGGATGGATAGCATATTCAGATTCTCCACCTCTAATCATGCCCGCCGTAGTCTGTAGATTGAGTCTGGCAGCGGCATGATTCTTGGTCGGGTCGGCGCGTATCTCAGACAAGGCTTGGAACGCAGGGCCGTAGCCAAGACCTATCGCAGCGAACTTCTTGTACCAGCTGCGCGCATTCACCGTTCGAGATTCGGAAGCTACACTCATCGTTTCAACTTGCGAGTGCTCAGAGATGTCCACCTTGACCATTCCGGTGCAGTGTTCCGTCCATTGCTCCGTTTCACGTGTAACGGAGCTGACTGAGAAACCGACCCAAGCCGGCTCTTGTGCAGTAGCTTTGTCGTCAAGCACCAGGCTGAGCATGATCTCGATACCATACTGATCCTCAGGGATGTTCAGTGCTGACTTGATATTGACGTTGCGAAGTGAGTGCCCTAGAATTGGCTGTGCGTCCTCGGTTGCCTGGTAGAGCTGCGTTGCCGCCACCATTGCCATACACATATATCCAGCAGCCGGGAATACAACATTGGGCAGCAGACGATGATCACTCAACCAGGGGAGGTCTTTCAAACGTAGCACGTTGCGGTATTGCGGTCGAAGTTTCGCGTTGCCAGCTACCCTAGATCCGATAAGGTCATGCCTGGGGATGGTACGAAGACGATATTCCTTGCTAGCCCGGCTCTCATAGTAAGCGACTGGTCCGTACGTGAACTGATATGGCGGAAGATCAATAGCGGTAGTGCCGTGTTCTAGCGCCCCAACACCTGCATCTACCGCGTTCACGGCAGCCAAGTCGATCTTAGCGTTGAGACCAAATAGTGACCCGGCGAGCTGTAGCAAAGATCTTGCATTGTCTTCTCCTCGCTTCAACGCGTACGCATATGGAAGTGGCTTGCCGATGCTCTTTAGAATCTGGTCAAGCGGGCTTCTTAGCGCCGGGTGCGGTCCGATTTCCACGAACGCCTTGACATCGAGTTCTTCCTGCCCTGCCAAACTGGCGACTGCGTCTGAGAATTGGACGGGTGACTCAAGATTGGCTCTCCAGTATGAAACCGGAAGGTTCGCTCCTGCAAGACTCTTCCAAGGAGTGACCGATGAAGACCAAGGGATATGAGGGTACTTTGGGCGCTGGTCTTTCAGTCCGGACTTCTCGAGATACGCCATGCCATCGGTGAGCAGTGTCTCATACGCATGGCCAAGCGCAATCATGTGATGTGAGTGATATGCATTTCCACCCGTCTTCAGAAGTCGGTTGAAGACGCCGTCGTGCGTGAGGGTCGTAGCGAGCCGCTTCACAGCCTCCTCGTCTCCAGAGAGCGTCAGGCTGCCGGGCGAGTTGACAGCTGCAATCTTGATATATTGCTCGAGCCCCTCAAGGTACTCATTGGCCTGCTCACGATCTAGACTGACAGCCAGCATGACGCCCTTCTTCTTATTCTGCGCCACAGCTTGCCCGCGGAAGAAACTCGCAGCAATCGCTTCAGCGGCAGTAATGCGACCGGCCGCGTAAGCAGCTGCCATCTCGCCAGAGGAGTGTCCCACGACACCTGCAGGGCTGACAGACCATGAGGCAAGGAGGTCAACGAGACCGATCTGTACCGCTGTACAGACTGTCTGCGAGACATCCGGCATCTGCACGCGGTCCGGTTCGCAGTTTCCAGAAAGTATCTCTGCAATATTCCAGGACGGCGCTCCAGGTAGAGATTCGAGTACACGGTCCAGATAGTCGACTGACGTGCGGAAGACATTGTAGTCGAAGAGTTGGGCGCCCATGGCATGCCACTGCGCGCCCTGCCCGGTGAAGACGAAAGCTAGACGCGACTCATCGGGCGGACTTGAGAAGGTCTTTTCCACATTCTTCACCAGTCCCTGCGCAACGTCGTGTTTGCTAAAGATGCGGAAAGTCCGTTGTGCAAGTTTGGAACGTCGCGCTGCGAGTGTGTATGCCACGTCTCCTAGTGAATGTTTATCGATGACACGAGCGAGTGCGTCTATGTTGGCATTGAGGGAAGTGTCGCTGTGAGCAGCGAAAGGTAACAGCACCAGTTCACGTGTGCTGACATCTGCTTTTCTAATTTTCGTAGGAGGTTGAGGCGTAGAGAGCTGAGATACCGCCAAGCCATTCCCATGGCTGTGAGTCGAGCCGTTCGCATGGCCATTCGCGTGCCCATTGACGGGTCTGATTCTGTTGACGATACCCGGCTTGACATAGTCCGGATATACGACTTCCACGTGGTCGAGAATGCAGTGCCCGATAGAACCGCCAAATCCAGCAGACGTAACACTGGCGCGTCGCAGCTTGTCTTCTGGCCATGGCATGACTTCGGTAACGACCCTCGCTTTGGCCTTGTCAAAATCGATCCTGGGGTTCAACGTCGTCACACCGATGCTAGGCGGAATCACCCCGGCTTCAAGGGCGAGTACGACTTTGAAGATACTTGCAAGAGCTGCAGCACCTTCAGTATGCCCAAGATTGGTCTTGACGGATCCAATCAACAAACGATCCTCCTCTGAGCTGGATCGTCCCGGCCCAAACACCTTACCAGCAGCCTCTACCTCGAGTGGATCGCCGACCCGTGTGCCCGTCCCGTGGCACTCGAGAAATGGAGTTTCGGAAGGAGACAATTTACCAGCATTGTGGTACGCCTTGCGGATGATGTCCTCCTGAGCAGTCCCACTTGGGTGCGTTATCCCGCTGGAACGACCGTTGGCGCCAATAGCGCTGCCGCGAACGAGTGCACGAATCGGATTTCCGTGCTGCATGGCCTGTTGCGGCTTCTTCACGTAAATAGCTGCGAAGCCCTCTCCACGAGCGTAGCCATCAGCTGCGGCATCAAAGGCATGGCTCATGGATGTACCAGACAGAGCTCCCAACTTGTCCATGGCGATCTGCATGCTTGGATCCATGATGTAGTTCGCTGTCGCCACAATCGCCGAGTCGCAGTCTCCATCCCGGATCGCCTGGATCGCCATATGGAGTCCGTACATGGCAGACGTGCAGGCACTGTCCAGCGTAACGCTTGGCCCGCGCAAGTTGAACACGTAGTTGATGCGGTTGCTGAGGATGTTGTGACACACCCCTGTGGTAGCATGTGGCCTGGCATACTCCCAGTCACGTGTCTGCGCATACGAGTTGTCGTAGGATATATCGGCGACATAGACACCCGTGCGTGTCCCATTAACACTTTCCCACGTCTCGCCTGCGCTCTCCAATGACTCGTACACCACTTCAAGTAGCTTACGTTGAGAAGGGTCGATAGTCTCTGCTTCGAGGCCTGAGATCCCGAAGAAAGATGGATCGAATAGTCGTGGATCTTCAGTCACCACGTAGCCTCCCTTTGCTGCCGTGGTGCCTGGTCTCTCTGGGTTCGGATGATAAAAGCCCTCTGCCGAAAAGCGTGGCGCCGCCCAATCCTGGTAGCCGGAGCGTTTGTTTAGCAAAAGTTCCCACAGGTCCGTAGGATTACGGACGCCTCCAGCCCAGCGGCAACCTGAACTGCGTCAGCACAAGCTCATGTTATACAGGTATTGCTCGATCACATACCCATCCCGACTATCGCCATAGGCTCAGGGTCTTCTGATCTAGCCATCTTCAATCGTCTAATAGTCGTTGTAAAAGTGCGAAGCTACAAACAGCAAAACGATACTGAACTATTGCAATGGTTCAAGCAAGCCAATGCACTTCAATTTGAGAGGATATATGTGTTGAACGGTCCTATCAATTCCAAGGCTGCCTCTCGGGGAACCCACACTCCGGTCTCTACAATCGATCAGCTACATGAACGGGCAGAAGATCGTGTGTAATCCGCTGATGTTGCGCCGATAGGCCTCATTACCAAAGAACGAGATAAGCCCATGCCAAGACAGTCTTCGCAGCTGAATCCCGTCAGCTTACTAGCCGTCAAAATTCGGCCGAAACCGGCTATGCAAACTATCAGCATTTCTGCACAGATGTGGGGAGCATACGGGGGAGAAAGGCCATCCCTTGCGTACGAGCTCGAAAGGTGAGTATCGCCAACATCATAGACCGCTGCGGGTGGGGGTACGTATTGTGGTCGGCGATCAGCTGGCGGTACTTCCGAAGGAGAGATTAGCCAGGTCGCTTGAACCGTAGTCCGTCGGGCGAAACAGCATAAATTCTCGGTGCAGATATCGGTTGAGCAGCTGGTTGTGTGCCAAATTGGCTATCGTGATAGCTGTGCCGAGGTGGCGTTTGCCCATGGAAGCCGCTGTGTTGAGCCGGTATTTGATAGACGTCTGGCTTGAACACTGGAACGCTTTGCAGACCGTGAACACGAATCCGAATACTACCTATCTTTCAATCTGTGCAAGCTGCGACCGCTTCTTGAAGTCATGATATTCCTTCAATCGATTGACGTCTCTGGACATGGGCTATTGTCAACCTCGTTCGGGGTCGCCGCTTGCCTTGGAGCTTTGTACGCCATCTATCGCAGCCTCCTCCCTCGACCACTCCCAGGAATCCCCTACAACCAGACCTCAGCACGTAGACTGCTGGGCGATGCACCAGATATGCTACGTGAAGTCAGCGTCACTCGGGAACTTAATGTGTGGCTGGTCAAGCAGGTCAACAAGCTCCAGGCCCCGCTATGTCAGGTCTTCGTGGAGCCGTTCTCAAAGCCTTGGGTCCTGCTCGCTGACCCTATCGAAGCGTACGATATCATGACCCGGCGACCGGATTTTGACAGATCGAATTTCATCACGGACGGGTTGAGTCCCATGGACAACTTCCATGCGCGAATGAAGACAGGCCCCCAATGGAGGACGACGCGAGCGTGGCTGCAGGATCTGATGAGCCCGACTTTTCTCAATAACGTGGTTGGGCCCGTCATGTTCGATAATACGATGAATCTCATCAGATTCTGGGATACCAAGACAAGGCTCGCCAACGGTTCCGCGTTCGATGTCAACGATGACTTGGATCATAGTGCGCTGGATGGGATGTTGTCATTCGTATTCGATCGCCATTTCAAGCACACCGCACTCGGCCCACAAATCGAGACACTGTCACGGATAGCCCCAACCAGTTTGGCAGTAGGGCCCAGAGGGGAAGTGCGGTTTCCAAGGGCTCCAGTCCACGAGTTCATCTCCGCGCTGTATGAGACGGTCGACAAGATCGATGTTGTGACCAAAGCCATGTCGCCCAAACTCGCGATGTGGTTCATTCGTCAGACACCCAGCTATAAGAGAGTGACGGCTGTAAAGAGACAAGTTGTGAAGGAACAAATCCAGGGAGCTCTTCAACGCCTTGAAGCTACGGACGAGCCAAGAACCGCAATCGAGCACATGCTGGTGCGTGAAAAGAAGGCCGCTGAGAAGCAGAACCGGAAGGCCGATTTCGGTAATCCTATCATGATGGACGAGGTAAGTCATGGATAGCCTAAATCTCTTTCAGGTTTGGATCTTAGCTAAAGCATCATGCTTCAGATCGCAGGACAATTCATAGCTGGTCTGCATACGACCAGCACGACACTTGCCTGGACATTCATCTACCTCACGCGTCTTCAGCACGTGCAGAGTAAGCTGCGGGATGCACTGCATCAGGCATGCAGCGATGCGCATGCGGAGAAGCGCGTCCCGACACTCGCAGAACTGACCGCGTCGCGCGTTCCCTATCTTGAAGCCGTGCTGGAGGAAACTCTGAGACTCCACGCGACGAGTATCGCCCGGCAGGCCAAGCGCGACACGGAAGTTCTTGGCCACCGCATCCCCAAAGGAACGAATGTTGTTATGATTGCCAACGGGCCAGGCTTTCACGCGCCAGCTTTCGATGTGGAGAGTGCGCGTCGTAGTGCAACGGCCGTTAAGTCGAGAGGATGGCGGGAGACGAGCGACATGCGGGTTTTTGATCCAGAGCGCTGGCTAATCCACAAAGTGGGTGCTGCTGCTGCTGCTGGAGTTGAGTTCGACGCAAACGCGGTACCGCAGATTGCTTTTGGCATGGGCCCTCGCAGCTGCTGGGGGCGAAGAATGGCGTATCTGGAGCTGCGCTTAGTGGTCTGCTTGGTGGTCTGGAATTTCGACTTGTTGGATGTGTCTCCCGACTTGGCTGACCCGAAGGCTAGCTACGGTATCGTCCATCGGGCGGACCAGTGTCATCTGCGATTGAGAGGCAGAAGAACTCTGTGAGTTGTCTAGATAGTTGGTCATTGTATGGGTACCTTGTACTCGATGGAAAGGTGATGGTCTTCGTTCGTGTCTTTGCTCCTGCGCGCTGTGCCTGCTGATGACGCGGGCGACCGGGCTGACTTCGGAACGCCGTCTCACACGTGACTGAGCGTCATTCCTCGACCTCGGGAGGCCATACAATCGCGCAAAACGGGTAGACCTCGGTGCGCATCATCGCGTATCACTGACAAACAAATTTATTCCTCTGTTCGCGTAAATACAGCATAATTATCCCAATAGCAATCATTTCTACCTTGGCGCAATGTCCGATAGAGGACTATACAAGAAATCGTTAAGCGCACCCGCATCCAGAATTGAGGGAGACGCATCAGACGCCGGCCACGAAGAAGTGTCGCCCGTCGGCTGATGTGCCTGGATCAGATTTGCGATGTCCAGTGGTGATGATGCGTTTTCTGCGCTGAGGCTGGAAATATGCTGCACCATGCTTGTGGAACTGGACGCGCTTCTCTCATTCAGAAGGCAGGACAACGCATTCGCACCTTCTTCAGCCATGACGCTGACTTCAGCTAGGGTGCGTAGACGACCGAGTGCATCGCTAGTAGCCTGAATGCACCGTTGACGACTGAGATGTGGCGTGCCTGACCCGAGAGGGTCGATCTTGGATGTATGACACGGGCCATCTACCCTACCAGCCGGGAACTCGGTGTCCTCACACACGCCGACCAGAATTACTGCAGCTTCGAATGTCGGTAATATGATGCCCGGAAATCTGGTATGAGACCCTCCCAGCTTCGCGTGCAGCTTTGAGACTCCATCCAGCACCTTGAGTGCTGCCACCGCTAGTGCCTTCTTCTGCGAGGCTAGCAGGACTTGCTTGTACGCAGGAAGTCTTTGAACTTGAGCAGCTGTACAGAGCAATAAGTCACGATAGTTTTGGCATAGACTCTCGTATATGGCGATATGCAGAATCTGCCGCTGAATGGGTAAGCGTCGCGATTGTTCGTCCCACTGCTCGCTTGGCTCAAGAGCGAACGCGGCAGGCATATTGGCAAGGAACTCAGAGCAGAACTGCTCATACTTTTCCTCGGTCGCAGTCGCGTCATACTCTGTATACGATGTCGAGGGGAATTTCCGCCAGAAAGCGGCCAAGCGAGCCTGCAACATTCGTTCTGAGAATGCTTCTGGAGCATTGTCGTCGTCCAGAATGGGTGTAAGATGCATTCGCGGTAGATTGTCCGCATCTAGAGCGGCGGGAAGAAACGGGATGCGATCGAGTTGGCGTGAGAGCATACTACGGTTTGACCTCGTCAGAATAACAAAACGGACATGCGATCACTTCCACTGATAACAGTAAGATATCGTCGTACCTGTCCCAAATGTAGAGGTTACAAAACACTCTCCGTCGCATCTCCTGTTCCAGCCCATGCATCTCTGGCATATGAACTGTGTGATTTCGATGGAGGCCGGCCCTCTGAGCTACCAAAGCAGCTTTGTTGAGCGTTTCCCAGAAAGCCATGTTCTGCCCTTCACACTGAAGTCGCAGTCCCAAGAACGCCAGATGCTGCACGCGTAGTAAAGAGCCTCTGGCATCAAGTCGCGCACATAGACTAGATAGCTTCTCCGCGATATCATCGCACAATGTGCGGATCTCAGACAGAGACATTCTGCGAATGCGGTCGATAGGATGTGACGGTGAAGGAAGGAATTGGGATGCGTACGAACACATTCGCATGACCAGTGCCACGAACTCTACGTAGAAGACAGATGACACAGTTCCCAAGCTCCACAGTTGTTGATACTGTGCTAAGAACCATGGTGGGTGCACAAGCTGCTCCTTCCTATATTTATACATCAGCTTTAGCAAAATCTTCCCTCCTTTGGTGACAAGGATAAGGACATGAAGTATTCCTCCTCGCAACTCATGGTTACGATTTTCGTACGGTTGACGAAGGAAATACGCGCGGATACTTACCAGTGAATTTCGTCGATATAATACTGGACTAAGAAGTCGCAGATTTGACGATCAGGCAATCCTTTCATTTGTTGTTCGACCTCCGGGGACGCCTCTCGGGTAACGTCCTGATTGCCGTGGTGTTCGCCGCTATTCAGTCCTAGCTGTTTATACCGGTGCTTGTTAGATGGATGATGAATTGATCGATTGCCTCATTTGTTCAGGTACAGTAACCACCTCACACAAGGAGAAAGCGGAACAGGTCTAGAGCTTGCACCAACACTAGGCCACTTACTTTGCGTGTGTCCATGTTAATGTAGGCTTTAGACCTGTCCAGTCTTTTCCTAGGTTGACATGCAGTTGGAGGTGCGATTGACTTACCTTACGAATCAAGGCGATTGTATTGCGTTCGCTGTACTCGAAGTATCCAAAAGACTCCGCAACAGAGTTGCTGCTTGGGCCAGGTGTGGAACTTCGCGGTCTTGCGTTGTTCCAATTCGTTAGGGCGTTAGTGGCAGACCCACTGGCATTGCTGTCATGCGGCTGGAGATCGTCATCCGCGGTGAGTTGCTCATGTTCGTTCCCACGATTCTCTACTCTCTGGGTCCGCAGCGACGTGTGATCAGCCTGCAATGCCTGCGAAGGGTAGTATGCGCACTCCTCCGGGCGTCGGCGACGAGAACAATGATCGCAGGGATAGCGACGGTTGCACTACATATTAGCGATACTGAGTTAGCCTAAATTGCCCTCGTGCGTTTTGGTACGTCCTTCACCGGCCCAAAGTTGTGGTTCAAGGCACGTGAGAACAACAAAAGACGGTCGCACCTTTTGTTTCCGTGTGTAGCACGGAATGCACGACGACACGATGCGTTTCTTTCCAGTGCTCTGCATCATGGAGACAGAAAAAGATGAGAAACGACCAGCAAGCGCGGAGAATCGAGGTCGAGTGTGGGGTGGTGGTATTTCTTGTGGTCACTGCAGGGCCTGGCGCGGTACCCTTGCACCTGCCAAGCAAGGGAACGGCAAGGGAACGGCACGCATTGCAGCGGAAGTACTGGCGCTGACGGAAGGCGCACATCAAGCCCGTTATGGTGAATGGCTAGAGATAAGATGCACTACAGCGGCAGTCTAAAAAATCCGAAAGCATTCATATCCAATAATCAATGCATGAGTATACAGTAGGGCTGACTGCATACTGATGGTTGCGTACTCGCGTCATCAGCAGTAATATGATCTTTTGAACCGGCTTCGTCAAACGTTACACACTATATCTAACTGGGACCACAGTACATGATTCACCGGAAGCAAGCAAGCAATCTTAGCGGTGGATATTTCAATTTTAAACTACCGCGACGCGCATGTGTACCGAATCTGCCTGACCCTGCAACTGCTTTGCTTAGCGTTGCAGGTACACTTCAAGCAGCCCCATTAGACCTTCTGGACGGAAGCTGCGAACCTCGTATCTATCATCCGCTTGTTTTAACAAAGCCTCAAATTCATCCCGAGTGCGCACCTTGCCACCAAAGCTCACCAACATGATGAGGTCAATCTGACGCAGGCCACGCTCAAAGTCGCGTGTTACCGAACTCTGGGCCGGGAGAATTAGGTCATTGATGAGCAGTGGAGTGCTGGGCTCGCAGCGTTCGAGTCCGGGGACTAGAGAACGCAACATGGTGACAACGTCCTGGTCGCACCAATTGAGCGCGCACGCCCGCAAGATGTAAGCAGCTGCGTTGCCCACCGGCTGCGGCTCGAAGAAGCTGTGCTGCATGAAGGAAACCCGCCTCTTGGTCTCATCAGTGAGCAAAGACTGACCCGCTAGGTGCATATCGGCGGAGTCTTGCACCACAAAATTGAGAGCTGGAAAATGCTCAGCCAGGGTGATGGAGACTTTGCCGCTACCACCACCCACGTCCACTACAGTGCCCTTAAGGTTGCCCCAGGGAAAGGCCTCCTTGAGGACGTTGATGTTCAAGTTTACTAGAAGCACATCAGTGTTAGGCCGGAAGGTGGGTTCAGTACGAGGACGACTTACGCTTAGCCCACCCGGCCATGGCTTTAGCAAAGCGAATGGAACGCTGGGTATCCTTCTCGTAGAACTCGAAGATGGGCAGGCCGTGTCGAGTGGTAAACGGCGTGAGTGCACTGTTGTACTCAAGCGGCGATGCTTTCACATTATCAGCTGTAGAAGATGCAGCCTTGAGCATCTCATCAACCCTGTATTGAAGAGGGTCAGTGTGCGGACGAATGTACCACAGCTGCGATTTCCGACATACGTGTAGTGCACCGTCGAACGAATCTCTTCGTCATGGTGTAGAAGATATGAGCTGGGGCTGTGGGCGACATAGCCATGGGCGGGTTCTCGGAAGATGGACTCGGTGATCAGGAGGCGGACGATGCGGCTGGTCCTGTCCAGGTCAACACCTGCGTGTTTCGCCAAGTCTTCCAGCGAGATATTGCCATGCGCGGGAACTATGCTGAAGAAGTCGAAGTCCAGTGCCACTTGAATGGCTGCGAGCTCGTAGCCCTGGCAGCAAAGTGCGCGGAAGTGTCGTTTGGGCCCCTCGACGAGGTATTGGAGGTCTTCCAGGGAGCGCTTCAAGTTACCATGAAGCTCAGCGTACTCAATCGTTTCTGGGCGGTCGATGCAGTCTGACGCAAACGTAGGCGATGCATGTTTGTTTGCTACCAAATAGTCGGCGATTGCCTGCGTATGCTGAGTAACCTGTTGAGCAAGGGCGAGCAAGTCGACCGTTTCGGAGTTAGGAGCGGATTTAACGCCGATACCGTTTGCTTGTGTTGACATGATGGCGCTGCGCGTGTCGCGTTGATCAAGATGAATTACTGTCCCTCATGCTTTGAGAACGCATTCTCAAATTATACAAGCCGCCAGTCATCATTTCGGTCATCATGCTCTTGCTTGAGGTTGTGCAGCTGCCGCATCATGTCGGGCCCGGTTTGTTGTCAGACATCGGGTGCGTAATGTTTGTCGCTTGTCCGGGCCAGTCAGCCGATCGCTGCTGGTCGTCGGGTGGGAGTCGTGGGAGTCGTGGGAGTGAAAGGGTGAAATTGGTAATCCCGCTGCTTACCTACATGACCGACGTTTTCGGCCGACATTTTACGGTCCTTGGCACTTTCTCATGTTGTGCATTACCAACCCCGACGCTGCTTGCTCTATTTGGGGGACAAAACATCTGAAAGAAACATGTATTTACAGTACTCTAGCCAGTAAAATCACACTCAACCTACACCTCTGTTTCTATCTCTTTCTCATGGATTCCAATACCTCTTCGACACCAGTCGCGCGTTCAATCAACGACGAGAAGCCAGCGGAGCCGACCCTTGGCACTCTCGGGAATGCAGCGGAACCGGAGAAGCCTCCGCGCGACATCTCTGGCTGGAAATGGTACCTGACTGTAGTGTCTATCCTGTTCTCCACCTTTCTCTACGCACTTGACGCTACGGTTGTCGCGGACCTCCAGTCTGTCATTGTCGAGGAATTCGGCGGCATCCAGCAGCTGTCGTGGCTGAGTGTTGGCTTCCTGCTCTGCGCTACAGTAACCACTCTTTTTTGGGGACGCATCTACGGCCAATTCGATGCCAAGTGGCTCTACATTTTCCATGTTGCGATCTTCGAGATTGGCTCCGCCATCTGCGGCGCTGCGCCGTCGATGAACGTGATGATTCTCGGCCGTGCCATTACGGGCTTAGGAGGATCTGGTCTGTACGTCGGCTGCATGACGCTTATTGCGAGCACTACCACCATGTCTGAACGTCCGGTCTACGTTTCTGGCACCGGCTTTACCTGGGGTCTCGGCATCGTCCTGGGCCCAGTCATCGGAGGTGCCTTCAGCGAGTCTGCTGTGGGATGGCGATGGGCGTTCTATATCAACCTACTCATCGGCGCGGCGTGCGCTCCAGTCTACCTGTTCCTCATTCCCAGCAAGGATCCTCGGCCCGGTGTCTCGTTCCGCTCGCGAATTACCGACATGGACTATCCAGGCACTATACTGCAGGCCGGCGCGCTGACAACTTTCATTGTTGCCATCAACATGGGTGGTATCTCGTATCCGTGGGACTCAGGCCGGGTTATCGCACTGTTTGTCGTATCCGGTGTTCTGTTCATCATTCTGGGCATACAACAGTATTGGAACATACTCACAACGGAAGCGCGTCGCATCATCCCTGTGCAGTTCTTCCGATCACGGATGGTGCTCATTCTCTTCAGTATCACCGCTGCCGGTGGAGCGTGCTCTTTTGTGCCCATCTACATGGTCCCAATCTTTTTCCAGTTTACCCAGGGCGACGGTCCCCTCGATGCCGGAGTGCGGTTACTCCCTTATATCGTCGTCATGGTCGTTACCGTCTTCATCAATGGTGGCTTGATGTCCAAGTTGGGATACGTCATGCCTTGGTTCCTTGGTGGTGGCGCCCTGGTCGTGATCGGCTCCGCCCTCATGTACACAATCGATCTGGACACTGCTACGGCTCGCGTGTACGGCTTCACAATCCTGATGGGTGTTGGAGTCGGTATGTTCCTCCAGGCGCCATTTTCAGTTGCCCAGGCAGTCGTCGAGCTTGAAAATATTGCGCCAGCGATCAGCTTCATCACTCTGGCTCAGTCTGTGGGCATCACCTTTGCTCTAGCCATCGCCAACGCTATCCTTCTCAACCAAAGCCAGAACAGAATCGAGGGCATTTTGACTGACGTCTCTTCGGCCGATATCCAGGCCGCTATCCTCGGTGCTCGATCGGATATCGTACAAAACCTATCCCCAGAGTTGAAGACTCGCGTTCTTGCTGCCATTGTCAGTGCCATCAGCAAGACCTACAGCCTTACTATTGCCGGTGGCGCTCTTGTCCTGGTCTTGAGCATCTTCATGCCTCGCAAGCGACTCTTCCAGAAGAATGCTGATAGCACTGCTCCCTAAGCTGGCTTTGGTCAACTACCGTTCCTGTCCTGCTTCTCCATTGTCAGTTTGCATTGCCAGAAGCACACAGCTAGCCTCTGTAGATCAGGGGCGGAAGGAAACGCGCGGATACTACAACACCAACACGGATGCAAGCATGCCTTGCACCGGTTAAAATGTACAATTACCCTAATAGATTAATCAACAACCTTCCCTTCATACCACCAAGCATGCTCCTCAGTGACACATCATGAGCCCCAAATTTTAACTGTATCTGTGACTGATGCTGAGTGTCGCGATACGGCGGACAAGCGTACAAAGTAGAGTTCCAAGGTTGGTGATATGCTGGTTGGCCGTGTAGGAGAAAAGGAGCGCTGAGATGACATCACCAGATGCAGCGCCAAGCCATTAGCCCGATCGAGCATCGGCCTTTCCCTATGTCGACTGGTGCACGAGCGTTCAAACCTTCCGTGGGCCATGCCACAGACACACACCCACATGCGCCAATTACACTTATAGCAAACAACGTGCCTTCATTCAAGCTGTAGTTGACACCGCTATCTTTCCCAGCCTCGAACTTTTGTCATACCATTCGGACATGTCATTGCGCGTTACCCAGGTATCTAGAGTCTTCCAAGGTTGACTAATGCGTTTCGAAGCGGCAATCACCACCCTAACACTACCACGAGGATGACATCAAACTCTTCATCACTTCGTTCGTGACCGAAAAGCATGCAGCAGTTCATACTCCCCGCTCGTAACCGCGACCCAACCCTAGCGAGGGCTGAGATCATAGTCACTCTTGATGCTATTACACGCAACAGGCACCTCCGCTTCAATCTCCCCCCTTGCAATCTTCTCTTCTTTTGCCTTTCGCTCCTCGCGATAGACCCTCATCTCCTCATCGCGCTCGTTCTTCGATCGCATAGTAAAAAGCATGCCGGGTGGGGGGTTCCACCACTGTCTAAGCGCCATCGCATCGAGTCAGCTAATGTCTACATACTAAGTGTACGCACTTACTCCTCTAGAATCGTTCTACTATTAGACTAAAGTAGTAAGTACAAAGTAAGTATATTTATTAAAGTAAGTATTAAATAATAAAGTAAAAATACCTAATTTATAATACTATAAGTTTTATAAAAAGTTTAGTTATATTTTAATAAACGCGTACTTATTTATAAAAGCTTAATAAACTTTTTAAAAAAAAACTTAGTAGTTTATTAGTATTTTATAGTAGTTTAAATTATAACTATAAGCTTATAAATAAATAAAGTTATTTAAGCTTAAAACCTAATTTAGAAGTTACTAAATCTTACTTTAGAAATTTAGTTTAAGCTTAAAAAGTAGTAGCTTTTTAGTAGAAATAAAATAGTTTATAAAAATAAAATAAGTATTAAGAAGCTTTATAAGTAATAGTACTTAGCTTTTAAACTATTTATTTTTATTTTTTCTTTTATTTAACTTATATAAAGCGCGCTACTTATTTATAAAGCTAAGATTATTAAATAAAATAATAAAAATAAAACTATAAGTTTTACTACTTTTTACTTTAAAAAAGTTAAAAAGTAATAAATAATTATAAAAGCTTATATTAAGTTATTAAAATTTAGTTACTATAAGTAAAGAACTATATAAAGTTCTCTTCTAGTTCTTAGTATATATAATAATAGAAATATCTAAAGTACTTTAAGATAACTATATTATAGTATAAAAAATAACTTACTTTATAAAATAAGCTTATTACTACTTAGAAGTCTATCTAAAATAATAGTAAAGAAAGTTTACTAGTAGATTAAAGTATAAAAGAATAATAATAAGTTCTAATTAATATACTATATACTAAACTATAATAGTATAAAAGAGTTTTTTATAAAAGCTTTTAATATAGTTAATTAGTAACTAATAGTTCTATAATAGAGCTTATATTAGAAAATTAAGTAAGTTCTAGACTAGTTAATAAAGAATTCTACTAGATCTATATACTTATAGAGTCTCTTATATAATATTATAAACTTACTAAATCTAGTTATTAGTAGAATTTATATAAAGCTAGTATAGCTAGAACTTAGCTCTATTAAAGTTTACTTTCTTTACTTTAGTTATATAAAACTTATTAGAAATCTTATACTTTAGAAAAAAGAAAAAGTATATTTATAAGCTATATTAGTTTTAGTAGTTAAACTAGTAAAAGAAATAGTTAAAACTAGTTACTTTAGATAATAGTTAAATAAAGTATATAAAAATATACTATTTATATTCTATAAAGTAGTATTAAAAACTACTTTTACTATTACTATACGTAATAGCTACTTTAGTTAATAAAGTTCTTAGTAATTTATATATAGCGTTAATCTTATACTATATAAAAACTTAGTAGTAAGATAGTAACTTAGATATATCTACTAAAGTATTTATTATATAAGTAGCTACTTATAAATTTAGTACTAGAAACTTAAAGTCTATAAGTTAAGATTATAAACTAATAAGCTTAAAAGTTATATTAAGATTTACTATATAGATAGCTCTCTAAATCTCTATAATACTTTTAAATAAAAAGTAATACTATAATTCTTCTACTAGTATAAGGTATTTATTATTATACTTAATATTATTATAACTACTTAGCTATAGACTACTCTAGATCTTTCTAGATCTTTTTAGACTATACTAGCCTATATAAGCGTAGGCTCTACTAGCGTAGAAATCTAAAGAAACCTTTTATAAGTAATAGCTCTACTTAGATTATCTAGTAAAAGTTTATATTTATATAATCTTATATTAACCTATCTTACTTTTATAATATAAACTTTTATCTATAACTATTAGTAATACTATAAATATAAGTTTATTATAATTATATAGTATAGTAAAAAATATAGCTTTTTAGACTTAGCCTAGACTAGCTAATACTTTATTAGCTCTAACTACTACTAAAAAAAAATTATAAGCTCTAATATCTACTATAAAAATACTACTAGTTAAGAAGAGAATACTTATTAATAAACTAATACTATTAACTTTTTAGTAAAAGCTTAAATAAAAAAAATAGCTTTTATTAGAAGCTAAATAGTATATAAAGATTACTACTTTATATATTTAATATAAAGCTCTTAAAGCTATACTTACTAGTAGTAACTTTTAGACTTTATTACTATCTATACTAATACTAGCTTTAGCTATATCTACTAAGAGTACTTTATACTAAACTAGACTTTTTAAAATTCTACTTTTAAAATCTAACTCTCTAATATATTTTAAAGGTAAGAATAGAGTATAACTTAATAGCTAGACTAAAGCTTATAAATACTTTTTTAAGAGTAACTTTACTTTAACTAACTTAACTATATAAGTTAACTTTATAATTAGATAGCTTAGAAACTACTAACTTAACTATTAGAAAAGAATAGCTAAAGCTATTATAGCTAATCTAAAAGTGCTAGTTTTAATCTAAGCTACTCTAAAGTTAGCTATACTAAAGTTTTTTAGCTTTTTTTTTTAAATATAAGTAAATAGCTAGAAAGAAAATTAAAAATATAAAATAGCGTTATTATATTTCTACTAAGTTTCTTAACTACTTTAAAATATAATAAAAAAAGCTTAATACTTAAGCTACTCTTAATAATACTAATAGAAATTATATTTATAACTTTTACTCTACTCTTAACTTAAAGATATATAAATAACTAAATAATATTAAGTAGAAGTAGTATAGCTTTATAGTACTAAAGACTAAAGCTAACTAGTAGTATAAAGCTCTAAAGTCTATACTTTAGGTTAGATAGATCTAGATAGGTATAGATAATACTAGAAGAGACTAGTTACTTTTTAAGTAAATATAGTATAATACTAACTAGTATAGTCTACTTAGCTAAAAGATAAAACTATATATACTACTTAAGAGAAAACTTATAACTACTTTAGTAGCCTAAATAAGTATAAAGAATATTAGTTAAGTTAAATACTATAACTACTACTATAAAGAGTACTATAAAAAAAAGTATTTTAACTTTACTAGTATCTAGAAAAGAAAAGTATACTTTTAGGCTATCTAACTCTATAGTTTAAAAGACTTATTATATACTTTAAAAGTTTTATTACTACTATAAGTAGTAAGTATAAAACTAGGCTAGAGATAGTAGACTTATTTTTAATTACTATAGAAAGTACTATTTTAGCTAAATTTAGGCTTATCTATATCTAGGCGCTTCTTAATAGTAGTACTAAGGCTAACTTTATTAGTTAAGCTATAGCTAGTAAAGCTAGATACGTACTATAATAAGATAGTATAATCTAGTTCTATAGTTTTAATAGCTAAGAACTAGCTATATTAAGCTAAGTAGATATAAAGTATACTATAACTAATAGCTATAATACTATCTAAGAAGAGTAGAGAGAGTTTTATCTAAAAGCTTTTAAAGAATTTAATATAATTTTAAGTATACTATAGCTAGAGTAATAGTAATTTACTTTAAACTTTATCTTAAAATTTATAAAATTTATAAAGTAGACTAAATACTATAAAATTACTCTAAAGACCTCTAAATAATTTATAGCTATACTTCTTAATAAAAATAATAATAGTTTTCTACTAGTAGTAGACTAAATAGGTCTAGATAATAGTATCTTACTATATTAGTACTATAGCTTTTAGGTAAAAGCTTTTTCTAAAGAAAACGCTACTATTCTAGCTAAATATAAACTATATAAAATAGTAATTAAACTAGAGAAAAGAAAGAACTTACTTTATAAACTACTTTATAGTCTATTAGTAATAGAAGCTAAGATAATATATAAATATATTAATAAGAATTTAGCTAAAGAATAAATTAGGTACTTTATCTCTAAGATAGAGGCGCTAATTCTATTTATAAAAAAGAAGAATAGCTCTCTCTAGTTATATATAAACTACTATAGCCTTAATATAATTACTATAAAAAACTACTACTTACTACTACTTATAAAAGAGTCTCTTAATTAACTTAGATCTATATTAATCTATACTAAACTAGACTTATAAAATA